AATTGCTGTCGTCACGCATTTATGTCGCGTCTTTTGTGAAAATAATTTCACACATTTCTTTTTCATTTTTCCACAACTTGTGCCAACTTTAATATTCAATTTGTAGCTCCTCTTATTCTCTCTATGATGCCTAGTATTTTGTTGTTATTTTTATTCCTTTGCGGAAATAATAAAATACGACCAAGCGTTTGTATGCAAAGTCTGTCTTCGTTTTGTCAGTTTGGCTTTATAGGCGTGGGACTTGTTGTTTCGTTAGTTCGCCGCTAATCACAGTCCAGTCTAGCTGTTGCTGTAGCCTTTTGTTTGGAAAGAAAGAAAGAAAATCTACAAGAATCGTAGAGTGATTTTGTTGCTTATTTAGATGCGTGTTAGATTGACGCGTCGTATACTAAGCTCAGCTCAGCTCAGCTCAACTCAATGTGGCACTGTGTGAGCACGNCTGTAGCCTTTTGTTTGGAAAGAAAGAAAGAAAATCTACAAGAATCGTAGAGTGATTTTGTTGCTTATTTGGATGCCAACAGCGTGACAAAAGTATGTATTGACGCGTCGTATACTAAGCTCAGCTCAGCTCAGCTCAACTCAATGTGGCACTGTGTGAGCACACGCATGCGCACCTTCTCCCTAAGAGTGCAAGCGCCAAGCGTGATGCTGTGAAATTAGCCGCAGGACGAACGATTAATGTCAATCATTATGTTAACGTTTGAGCGGCATGAACGAATTTATGACCCAATTGCTGGTGTTGTTCGATAGTTGGAGAATTTGTTTTAAACCCATGAAGGTAATAATACTGATGTCTTATATTGAATTTCCCCATTTGGTGTTCGATTGCATTTGATTGATTTGTACTACATATTGGGAAGGTGAATTTTAAAAGAAAATAAGAAAAGATAGTATCCAAATTGCAATTGTCAAAAATGCAAGAGATCTCCTCCCAAGTGATTAAGGTGGAAGGTTTGCGCTTCTTTTTTTGGCGGGTATGGTTCGGTCTACCGATACCCCAGTGAACGGCAATTGCGATTGGCCCATTTACCCATTGGGCAAGNGCAAGAGATCTCCTCCCAAGTGATTAAGGTGGAAGGTTTGCGCTTCTTTTATTGGCGGGTATGGTTCGGTCTACCGATAGACCCAGTGAACGGCAATTGCGATTGGCCCATTTACCCATTGGGCAAAGGGTGTTGCATTAGGCATCTTCACATATTTGACTTAGGTTGGGTATTTCGGATAGGCAGTTGAAGTAGGTTGGACTGGAATGGAATTGTGGATGGCCGTGAAAACCAAAAACAATTTTTTCAAGTGCACAGGCAGTATTGCTCATTGCATATAGGTGAGAATGGAATTGCTCCTCTGCACACTTACCGCACTCCTTTATGAATCTTGGCAGTTTGTCGAGGGAAAGTTAATGTAGCTCGTCCATTATCAATACATCCAACCCAAAAATCTATCATCTAAGTGCGGCGAAGGCTGGAAAGTGACAAAGAAAATGTTCTCTACTATCCTCATCTTCCAAAAAAAGACGTACGCAGTGGATCGTCGATGATGCCTATGGTGACCATATGCCATTCCTATGTATTACACGCTGTAATCAGTCCTATCAGGGATCGTCGATCATTCCTTCTGTGTCTGAGGAGTTTTTCTACCACCCGGAGGGGCCTTTTTAGGAAACACATGATAGTTTTGCAGGCGTCAAAACAACAGCAATGGCTCTCATGTAGTGCTAATAAAATTCTTGATTTATCCGATTGTTCCCGTCCTAAAATTGGCTCCGGCAAAATTGGGAACCGCAGCTCGCCAATTCATCGCCCAGTTCGTTGGCTAGAATACCATGGTGTCTGTAGATAGATAGATAATTGATGTAGGTATGCACTGCGACCAAGAGATCTATTGTGCCCTCAACTATTTACAAGTACCTCATCTAATCCTAGAGAGCCAAAAAACTTGAGGATATCCCCAGGGATCAGCGATTGTATTAATTGGCCAGTATTGGAGTCTTCTCGCGACCGCCTCGCATTCACGAAACAGGTGCACAGGAGTCACCTCGAAACGACATAGGTCGTTTGACCAGATCCCTAGCTTGTGCAGCTTGTGTAACCTCCCAGTAGGCGTTTTCTCATTACGGTAATTCCTACGTAGGTTAATCTCTACACACAGATAGATGGCATAGACCTCCACTTGGAAGATACACGGGTATGCCCCCATGGGTGCCGAGAGCTGTAGCCGTGGCCCGTAGACGCCTTCCGGTGTATTCGAGCCGTCTGTGTACCATTGCAACGAGCTCGATGGGATATGCCTGGTGTCTGTCACCTTCAGTATTGCAAAAACTTACGATTGAAAAGCCATTGCCATTGCACCCAGCAGTAAAGCATCTGAAATTACAGTCCGAATTCTACGTTCCCGACAGTCGGGTCTACGTAACCGGAACGACCCAAATTTTTTAGCAGATAGACGATTCGACATTCTGTACAATGAACGACGACGCACCCACCAGGATTATGGGTAACTGCAGTAGCTCGCCAGACATCACAATAGTCAGCGCTGGTCTGATAAACAGCATAACGTGGCGACCTATGCTGACTCTAGCATCAGACCATCTACCCATAGTCATCTCGATTGATAAACCAACCGACTTTGCCTCCGCCAAACACCGGACCTATATCAACTTTTCTAAAGCTGATTGGAAAGGTTACGCGGAGTTTAC